CGGTCAGTTGCTTAGGCTTTTATATATATAGAAGATAGAATTATATATGTCTCCCTTTTTTCCCCAGGAAAACTTCTAGCTGCCGCTCACCCCAGGCCTTCACCACACTATTATCTGTATCCGTGAGTTATGCAACCAGGTCCTGAAGCCAATCAGGCAAAGACTCAAACGTATCTGGAGATCTGCCTCTGCCTGCAGGCTGATAGTTATTCTCAGCCTCTTAATGAGCCTCAACTCCAAAGGGTGGAGCAAGAGGGTTTACAACAATTTCCCCCACTCCCACGCCCACCTCGGGCAAAAGCTGCCTGGATGGTAAAGGTCTGGCTGAGAAAGGTGTCCTCTGCAGTATGGGGGGGGACGACTCAGTACAGGAAACCAGGTGGCTGGGCTGCCTTCTGAGCTCTGACCCCAGAGTCCCCAACCCTGGATCCTCTCACACAGCTCTACTTCACTGTATCCTCCTTCTGCTGGAGCTCAAGGTGAGTGCCTGCACACAAAATTTTGTGCATGGCCCTTTAAGAAGGTGCCTGCATTTCCAGCTGTCTTTCTGACAGACAGCAATTCCACTGCTTTTCACAACCAGATGTTATGTGGGCACTTTTCTTAGTTCTGGTGCTCTGGGTTGGGGGGCCCAGCTTGGGGTTTAGACCCGTATTCTCAGTGTGAACGCCCACAGCTGAGATATCCTTCCAGAACGTCAGCTGCTATCTGTGGGAGCCTGATCAGCTCACTCGTGCCTCTGCACTTCCTACCAGTCTCTATGTGGTCTCCACTTTATGTCCTTAGTTTTAAGGGTTCTCTCCAACTAGTCTTCAGGTTGATTTCCCAGATGGTTTTTCTATATTTTAATTCCAGTTTGGTCCTGGGAGAGTGTCAGTGTAGCTTCCACTTAATCCACCACAATTATGGAAAAAACTAATGTGGTTTTTAAAAAAGCAATTTATAAACCAGGCCAGGCCAATGCTTCTCAGTTGTCAAAACATAAGCCAGCTCACCAAAGGGTCTTGGGTTCAATTCCAATCAAGGGCATGTACCTGGCTTGCAGATTCAAATCCCCAGGCAACCAATCGATTTGTTTCTCTCCCATTGATATTTTTCTCTCTGTCTCTCTCTTCTTCCCTCCCACCCCCCTTTAAAGAAAAAATAGAAAAATATCCTTGGGTGAAAATTAATACAACAAAAAAAATCTGCCGAAATCAGTTTGGCTTAGTGGATAGAGCGTCGATCTGTGAACTGAAAGGTCCCAGGTTCATTTCCGGTCAAGAGCATGTACATTGGTTGCAGGCACATCCCCAGTAGGGGGTGTGCAAGAGGCAGCTGGTCGATGTTTCTCTCTCATCGATGTTTCTAGCTTTCTATCCCTCTCCCTCCCTGTAAAAAATCAATAAAATATATATATATTTTTAAATCTAAACTAGCTTTTCACATTAGCATGTTTATCCAGGTATAGAAAAAATTATACTTATAACTTTTAATGCACTGAGAACTCATTTGGGGCCTTCAAAAATGGAATAAAATGTTCCTTTATTTAATAGTTGTTCAAGGGTCAACTGTATATTATAAATTTACATAAAACATAGGTACACGTAAAGATATAGTATATTTAAATAAACATATACAAATAGTCAATAAACATCCACAGAAAGAATAGATACAGATGAAAAATAGATAAGTAGATAATAGATGAATGGATGGATGGATGGATGGATGGATAAATCATCTTATTCCTATGCCTGCTTACAGACTGCAAAAGAAAGGGGTATTTAATAACTTTTTCATTTTATAGCATATATAGATTCAGTATATGGCACATATAATTTCTCATATTGCCCTGTTAAAATGGTTCACTAGATATTTCTTGTGAATAGGTATACACACACATATACATACACATATATACATACTGCAGGTATGTATATACATGTAGTTATTTTGAAATGAATTCTATGAAACCAGTTTTTAATAAAAATGGCCCAAGTACTATAGTATTATAGTCATGTACACAACAAATATAAATCCTATATAATAAAGAGGTAATAGGCAAATTGACCATCACTCCAACATACTTATGTGTTCCATAATGGCAGGGACAATTTTTATATTTTTCCAGTGTATTATTGGTGCCTTATTATGTCTCATACAGGATAAATATGCAATGAATTTTGAATGGATGGATTGATGATGATGCTCAAAGATAGACAAGTAAATAAAATGATTTTTCTAAGTCCAAAGTCAGAAACAGTTTAAGAATTTCAAAATATCTAATTCAATATCCTTTAATAAAAAAATGTCAAATATGCACCCTTTAAAGTATTTGAGTACCTACTAAAATGCAAGAGTTCACCAGTCACATCATATTATAGCTATGTACAAAGTATGTCATTACCTTTTACTAGCTTGCCTAATTTAAGATTTAAAGTGCATTAAAAATGAAAAAGTAAGTATGAATTAGGGTATTTTACAAGATTAAAAAGAAAACTAGTTGAGAAACACACAAATGAACTTATTTCTAACAACTAGGTTTGGATCTAAAAAAAAATTTGTGAACAAGTTTTTTGTTGTTGTTGTTGTTTTCCCTAAATTGTCCATTATTTGTGGTCCACTGACCAGAGCCATCAAGGGACCTCAATACTGACTCTCATATAGCTATGTTGCCCTCCTTCTTGTTTCTCTTGTTCAAGAAACACAGCCACATCTCCAATATGAGTTAAAAACCTAGGTTTTGGTCCTGAGTTTGTCATTAAACCGCTGTGTTACATCTGGCAGGTAGCCTTCCCTTGACTTTCAATTTCCTTAAATGTAGGTAGGAAATTTAAACGTATCAGTGTTTCTCAAACATGCTTGATTATAAGAGTACCAGTGGCCAAGTGCATGAAATTTGTGCACGGGGGTTGGGAGGATGTCCTCAGCCCAGCCTGCACACTCTCCAATCTGGGACCCCTTGGGGGATGTCCAACTAACGGGGGATGTCCCTATGGGATCGGGCCTAAACCAGCAGTCGGGCATCCCTCTCACAATCCGGAACCGCTGGCTCCTAACTACTCACCTGCCTGCCTAATCACCTCTAACCACTCTGCCTGCAGCCTGCTCATCCCCAAATGGCCCCTGCCAGTCTGCACACCCTCAACTGCCCCCCGCTGGCCTGATTGCCTCAAAATGCCCTTCCCTGCCAACCTCATGGTCCCCAACTGCCCTCTCCTGCCAGCCTGGCCCCCAACTTCCCTCCCAGACCAGCCTCATGGACCCCAACTGCCCTACCCAGCCAGAGGCCCTCCACAGCCGGGCAAAGAATGCTTGTCTCATCGCTGGAGCACCAATGCAAGAGTTCTGTGCCCGGCTAATGCCACTGGAAGACAGCCAGGCCGCCCGCCACATACTGTCATCGCATGCAATTGGCTTGGTTACATCATAAATTCCACTTCCAACTCCATTCAGTAGGAAATGCCAACTACCTGGAACCTATGGAATAATGCCTGGTGATTCCCTGTAGGTGTCTGAGATGCATATGTGGGAAAAAGTAGGATGTGTGTATCATATATTTATCTATCTCACAGATGTGCATGCATCTGGGTGCCAAGGATAAAGGACACACAAAATTAAGAGAGTTGATAGCTACACCTTAGGAGCAATGACTGGCAGGAGACTGGCTCTTGACTATAGCTTCCCAAGCCTATAGCAATACATTTCCAGGATGTATCCCGCCTGTCAGGCTACCTGCTGACAGGAGGATGGCTTCTTCACTGCAGCTGTTTCATGTGGGTCCTTTTGCCCCTGATCTCCCAGCATCCTTGGCCAGTGTGTCAGGCATGCTGGTCGTTCACAGGGGGCCATAGCCTGGGCTGTCTTCTTAATCACTCAGTATGGGCAGGCAGAGCCACCCGAGAAGCTGGCCTCTCCCATGGACACACAGCGGCGGGGAAAGCAAGAGTGAGGCCCTCTATACGATGGGTGCTCCCGAGAGCTCCCACTCCTGGCAGGTGAGCCTGTGATCCTCCCAGGTGGGAAGAGAAGCCGAGCAGCTGTGAAAGGTAGGGTCCTCCCCAAAAAGGCGACCATGAGGCAGCGGGTAGGACAGGCTTCCCACTGCTTGCGTGGTTTCTGAACTGCATCACCTGGACCTCCAACCTCTTTAACAGCATGAGACTCAGAGGGCTGTGCCATAGACTCTGCTCGGCACTACTGGAGGCTGCACTTGGGGCTCCATGATTCATCTGTCCTTGACCCGCCAAGGGCTATGAGGCCTGCCAGGTGCCCTGCAGGGCTGCTCCTCCAGTCTGCATCAGGCCTGAATGGAAGACCCTCCCTCCTAGGCCGGACCCAGAAAGCTTGCCTCGTCACCATAGCAATGAACCAAGCATTCCACCAGGTTGCTTTACTGCTTGCTCTCAGCAGCTGCTCTTCCCCCCACCCCCCCCCCACCCCCCGGAACTGGGGGACTCCGGAGGAGCTGAGAGGATTGGGCGCCACCATCTTGGGGCTATGGGCACCACCATCTTTGTGATGGAGTGATGGTTAATTTGCACATTACCCTTTTATTAGATAGTTTACTGAAACAGTATTTTGTGTCCCCCACCCTGAATATACTTGGGGGAAGGAGAGTGAATATATTTCCATGTAAATTTTATGATTTTTAAGCCATACATATTCTGCCAAAGTAATCAGTTACTAAATGTTTTCAAATCTGAAAAAGTAGCCTAAATATCATTCCTAAGGTATACACGGAAATGTCTTTCCTGGCACCTAATTCAGCCTGCTTGGACTTTATCATTTACTTCTTTTTTTTCATATGCTGAATGGCTAATCTCAGTAAATAAATATTCATAAATTAGGAAATTCCTTATAAATAAATATTCAAGTACATAAAAAATTTACAACATTCATATTCTTTAAAATTATTGCAATAAATTAAACAAATAACTAATTCATTTTCATTAGAAAGTACCTTTCATTTTTTTTTAAAAAATACTTGCAACATAAAGGAATAAACAAAAGAATCTTACCTAATCGTAATTCTCCAAAATTGCCACATCCAATTTTTTTCCCAACTCTAAAGTTAGGTCCAACCATTAAAACTCCAGAGGAGGAAGACCCAGGTCCTCGAGTGTTGTGTCCCGACCGACCACTAGGTCGTGCCATTCTATCATCTGATTTGTCCTTGTCTTTCTTTTTATTATCCATATCAAGTTTGCGGTACTCCACTTTGAATTCTTTAATCAAGACAAGCACGCTGAAATAGGGTATTGTGACAGCAGGTACATCACTAGGTAACTGTACCAGGCAGGTAATGTTAACATTCAAATTGCAGTAGGTAGTCAATTAACTGATGCGTGTTCATCCCATTCGTAAGATTTTTCTCAGTTGTCTTTTCAGCAAAATATGTCTTCAAAATTTTCTTTTCAATGATGTGCGCTGATCTTGACAGAGAACTAAAATAATTAGACAAGAAAATTAGTCAACTTAGAGTATTAAAAAATATATGTTGGGGAAGTTAATAACACAAGTTCAGACAATGGATTATTGCTATTTACTGATGCTCACTATAAACCAAACCACAGTCGACTCTTAAATTAACCATTATTCTTTATTTCTATAAAGAATATACAAAAAGTTCACAAAAATAAAAGAAAAGAATTGGGGATTCAATTACTTCTTAAAATTAAGAGAGTAAGAAAAATGCATTGAGTGTTTCATAAGCCAATATACATTCACTAACTTAGACCTTCCCACATAAAATCACTTCAATTTAAAAAAAAAAAAAAAAAACTGTAAAAATTCCAGTAAGTTACTGAAAAATTTTCAATTTAAAAGCAAAAAAAAGAGAATAGTTTGCAAATTGATAAAAAGTCTTAATAAAAATATCTTCCACATGTTCAAACAATTTCCAAAGTCTTCGTCAATTACATATTCTCATTTGATCTTCATTTATTCAAATATTTATTACCCACCAGCTATACATGGGAATGGTATTCAGAATTGATAACACAAAGATCATTCTTGATACCTATCAAGAAAGAGAATTAATTCTTATGCAACATCTGAACTAGGCCTTAAAAAAATAAGTATACAGTAATTTGGCAAGATTAAGAAATGTTGGCAGTCAGCAACCTTATTAGGAAGAGAAGGTAGGTTTTTAATTTTCTAATATACTGATGAAAACACTAAAGCTCAAAGAAAAATTTCAAAGCTTTTGGAGACTTCTGCCCCATTCATGTTCTCTAGAAATTTCACCCATTAACCAAATCTCAATTTTGCAGTAAATTTGCAAGCTTAAATATGCTTATTTTTGCTTGAACAATTTGATTCCTATTACTTGCAATTAAAGATACTTTGACTGAAATAGATACTCACTAGTATAGAAACTAGGATCAATATCAAGGCCTTTTTATTCCTATTTCAAAAATTATTATATAATGCAATCATAGCAAGGGTTTAAACAAAAAGTATTTTCTGATTTTCAGCAACCCCCACCCAAATGACATATATATATACATATATATATATATATGTATATATATATAACATTTACCATACTCTATTTTGCAGGTGAAGCTGTAAACATCTGTTTGGTATATATAAAACAGAATTGAGTGTGACATACATATACTCTTTATTTTGTTTTCTGCCATAATGGAGTAACTGGATACTGAATTTCCCTTCCTGCTAGAACTATAAAACTGGACAAAAACATATGAAGCACTTGCTTTAAAGCATTGGATACTAGGCAGGGAAGACTGATCTTTGAAAAATGAGAAACAGGAAAGGTGGGTCTCACCTTCACCCAAGCTGTCTAACTAGGAATAATTACTGACTCCAGCCCAGGCAGGTGAAGCCCAGGCAGCAAACAGTGATCACATATCAGTGTTTGGAGATGTTAAAGTGAGTGGAATTTGTAGGACATGATGTTGAAGATGAGGCAGTTGTGCAGTTTGGGGGTTAGGGAATGGTAAGGCAGAAGGCTAGGCTACATATATGAGGGGCAATATTCTGAAATGCCTAGCAGACAATGGCTACTAATGGGACAAATGAAGAACAGAGACACTAAAGGCTGCACTGTGCTGGAAGACCTTAAAGTTCTTATCTGGTCATGAGCAACCTCATTAATATCCCAGGAATTCCGATGAAACACCACAAAGAACAAGTCTTAAGAGTAAAGACCATAACCTAAAGGAGTGATTTTCACCCTTTTCATCTCATGGCACACATAAACTTAATTACTAAAATTCTGCGACACAACAAAAAATATATTTTTTTGCCGATCTGACAAAAAAAAAAGCTGTAATTTTGATTCATTCACACCAGATAGCTATTTGTTGTGTTGGCTATTGTCATTTTTTTTTTTTTATTTGACAATCTAAGGGAAAAGAGATCAGTGCCCCTGTCTAAATCGAGAGTATGGAATGTTTTAAAAATTCTTGTGGCACACTGGCTGAAAATCGCTGACCTAGAGAAAGAACTACTATAGACTGTTCCAACTGAAGCCTAAAAGCAAGCCTAGACAGGATTGAGAATAGCTCCAATTAAATTAACTGCATTCAGAATATATTTCAACATACTTTTTTAAAATGTTATTTTTCTTTTTATTGAACTTAATGTAGTTATATTAGTTAACAAAATTATATAGGTTTCTGGTACACAATTCCACAACACATCATCTGTACAATGTATTGTGTATTCAAGTCTCCTTCCATCTCATTTATCCAAGTCAAGTCTCCTTCCATCTCATTTATCCCCTTCTATACACTCCTCTTCCTTCACCTCCCTCTATTTCCTTCCATCCCCTTCTCCTGCCCCCAGCAATCACCACTGTTATTTGTGCCCAAGAGTTTTTCCTTCTTTTTTTCTGAATTCCTCCACCCCACAACCCACCCCACCCCTCAGAGTTGTCAGCCTGATATCTATCTGTAACTCTGTCTTTATTTTGCTTGTTAGTTCATTTGTGCGTCAGAATGAGAAATTATTTCAACATACTTGAAGAGACAAAAAAATCAAGATTCTCAACAATGTTCAATTCATAATGTCTACATACAGCTAAAAAGTACCAGACATGCAAATAAGCAGTGAATGTACCCACAACTGGGAAACAAAGAAAACAGATTCCAAGAAGACTCTAATACTAAAATTAGAAAACAGGATTTTAAAACTATTAAAACAGTTGTTAAAGTCCTATTAAATTGAAGAAATGGAATGGAGTAGAACTCAGTAGGATATCATCTATGAATGAAGAAGAAGAATCAAAGTATATACAGTTGTACCTTAAACAACACGAGTGGCTGGGGGTGCCAAATATCTATGAATTATCTACAGTCAGCCCTCCCTCCACCGGTGCAGAGAAATTGAACTACAAGGGTCAATTAAGAAAAATCCAAGTACAAGTTCCAAACTGCATTGCTCAAGGGGCCAACTGTACTAGTTAGTGAGAAATGAAGCTGTTTCCTACTTTACTCCATCTAGTTCACCACATTCAGGAAACTGTCCATAAACTTATAAAAGGTTTTTGGATCAATCAATGAACTTGTATGATATATGCATAACCCGTGGTCACAGACAATGCGGTGGGGAAGGCCTGGGGGAGGGGGAAGCAGGCTGGAAGAGGTTAATGTAGTAAAAAGAAGGACCTGTGTAATACTTTCAACAACAAAGATTTAAAAAAAAAAAAAAAAAAAAAAAAAAAAAACAATTGCCTTCAAGTTTGTCCATAGCCATGGTCAGCAAACTTCAGGCTAAATCCGGCCTGTTGCCTATTTTGTACAAGCTACAAACTTAGAATGATCTTCACATTTTTATATGGTTTGGGAAATAGAAGGATTATAATATTTCTAGACACATGAAAATTATATAAAATTCAAAATTTTAGTGTTCATAAATAAATTTTTATAAAGATGAATCCATGCTAATTTGTTTATGTATTGTTATGGCTGCATTATGCTATAAGAGAACAGTTGAGTAGTTGCGAGAGATCCTATGTGGCACTTATCATTTCACACTGCTGCCCAGTATACCACAAACTGCAGTGACTACCATGCTTTGAAATGGAGTGTAGATTATGTATTTCAAGTTAGATGGCAAAGTGTTGTGTTTATTATATAATGACACTACACTAAAAAATACAATATACTTGGACTCAAAAGTATTAGTATTCTATTGTTGCATGACAAATCATCAAAAACTTAGCAGCAATACACATTTATTAGCTCACAGTTTCCGTGGATCAGAAGTCTGGATATGGCTCAGCTGAGTCATTTGCTTGAGTTTTCACAGGCTTCATTCATGGTATCAGCCAGACTGCATTCTCATCTGGGGACTAAAGTTGGAAAGAATCCTCTTGCATGTTCCTTCAGATTGTGGGCAGAATTCATAACCTTGCAGTGTGTGAATGAGGGGCCCAGCTTTTTGCCAGCTCTCCAGATGGAAGCCACCCTCAGGTCCTACAGGGTACCTGCAGTTGCTAGAAGCTGCTTACAGTTCCTTGCCACAACGGTTTCTCTGACATGGACACTTAGGTACTTCTTCAAGCCCACAAGAAGAAACTCTGGCTCCAATATTTTAAGAGTAACTCATATAAGGTAACATAACCTTCCCTCATACTTAAGTCCCAATCTTTGAACCCTTCTCCCAGATCTTGGGATCTTTGCTATCCAGACCTCTTTAATGCTGCCTGTCTAATACTAACTAGAAAGAGCACAATCTGTCTAATCTTATTTTAGTGATTTTAGTGATTGTAACATAGGAGGATTAGACCAGGAGATTTCTAAAGATACTTTTATATTATGCACAATATGATAATTACTTATTATATCTTATTACAAGAACTCTTATTTAATGTAACTGTGATCTTTGAACCTAGCACACTGCTGGGCCAGTCAACAGCTATTATAGAATCATAAAGAAATTATTTATGATTAGCACACTCACCCACACTGCTGGGTCAGTCAACAGCTATTATAGAATCATAAAGAAATTATTTCCATCTCTATACATTTCTAGGCTTCAGTTGCATGATTTCTATCTAAAGCCCTCCCGGTTACATATCATTAGACCCCATAACAGGCTCTTCATTCACCTGAAGCACATCACCAACCCCAATATGCCAACCAAAGTGCGACAAGCATTCATTCCTAAGTCACTTCCTGGATGAGATGGCATTCCCTTGCCTGAATTATTCTTCTAATACTGTCTAT